AACATTTTATTGAGACACGCCCATTCATTTACATATTGTCTGCACTGCTTTCCTGCTGCAATTGCAACAGTGATGGCAAAGTCCCAGAGTAAAGGATAGTTACCGTCTGGCCCTTCTCAGGAAGTTTGCCAGCTTCGTGCTGCAGAATTGTGCGTCCAGGAGGCACTGGCCTTTGGAGTCAGAGGGACTCGGGCTGGACTTCATATCCTGGCTGCACACACGCTCGCTGTTCAACAACGTGCAAGTCATTACTCGCTCTGGTCCCCAGGCTCCGCATCTCTGGGGGTCGTGCTTATCATGCCCGGCGCCGTGTCTGGCATGTGGCAAGTGGTCTGTGGATGTCCGTGGTTGCCAGTGATAATGGGAGGGCCTCCTCTCAGTGGCTTCCTCTTCTTTTTTTTTTTTTTAAGATTTTATTTTTTCCTTTTTCTCCCCAAAGCCCCCCGGTACATAGTTGTATATTCTTTGTTGTGGGTCCTTCTACTTGTGGCATGTGGGACGCTGCCTCAGCGTAGTTTGATGAGCACTGTGATGTCCGCGCCCAGGATTCGAACCAACGAAACACTGGGCCGCCTGCAGCGGAGCACGCGAACTTAACCACTCGACCACCGGGCCAGTGGCTTCCTCTGATTGGTCTCACGTTCTGCGTAGGAGCGCAGGAAGAAAGGGCTCTAGGGCTTTAAAGGCGGCCTGGAAGCCACCACTTTAGATCACGTGGGCAGTGCTTGGTGGGTGTTCCGAGGGCCTTGTACTCTGACAGGGAGACATGGCCTCTTCCTACAGGACTAACCAGCCATGTCGATTCAGGGGGTCCTGGGGACTCCCCGGGGAGGAGACAGGACTGGGGTTCGGAGGATGAGGAGGTGGCTAGGAGGTTGCCTGGGGGAGGAGAGCAGAGGGTGCTCGTCCCTCCAGGCGTGGGAGTGGCGTGAGGGAGGGCAGGCGGCCTGTGCTTACTGAGAGCTGGCTGCAAGCCGGACTGCGTCATTCTCTCCCCAGCCCAGGGGGGTGAGTCATGCCACCCCCATTTTTGTCAGTGGAAACAAGAAGTGAGAGGGAACCCAGTCCACATGAGACCACCCTTACTTCTGACACCAGCTGTGAGTTTCAGGGTTCCCAAAGCCACCGTCAGGTTCGCTAGCACCCTAGAGAGACCCACAGAGCTCACAGAAAGTGCTAGTGGTCACAGTTATGGTTTATTACAGGGAAGGGGTACAGATTCACATGAGCCAAGGGAGCAAGTGCGTAGGACAGGGTCCAGGAAAGTTCCAGATATGGAGCTCCCATTGTCCTCTCCATGGAGTCACAGGTGCATTGCTTTTGGCAGAGGCATGTGACACACGCACACACACACACACACACACAGTATTGCCAGCCAGGGGAGATCACCTGAGCCTCAGTGTTCACAGTTTTCTTTGGGTGTTCTGGGCTGAATTGTGTCCCCCAAAATTCATATGTGAAAACCCTAGCCCCCAGTACCCTAGCATGTGACCTCGTTGGGAATAGGGTCATTGCAGATGTCATGAGTTCAGATGAGGGCGTGCTGGAGCAGGGTGGGCCCCCAGTCCGGTATGACCGGCGTCCTTATAAAAGGGGAGGTTTGGAGACCGCCATGCACACAGGAGGAACAGCGTGTGAAGATGAAGGCAGAGATTGGGGTGGTGCTTCTACAAGTCAGATGAGGCCCGAAGACGGCCAGGAAGCCACCAGAAGCTGGGGAAGAGGCCTGGGACAGACCCTCCCTCACAGCCCCTGGAAGGAGCCAGCCCCGCCGACAGCCTGGTCTTGGACTTCAGGCCTCCAGGACTGTGGGAGAATACAGTTCTGTGGTTTGAGCCCCCAGTGTGTGGTGCTTTGTAACGGCAGTCCCGGGAGATGAGTACACTGGGGTTCCCCTAGGAAGGCAGGATTGATGGCCCAGGTGGCACATCTGCCTCCAGTCCCTCCGGGTGTCACCCACCACTCACATTGTTCGTCTGTCCAGTATGACCAAGGCCCCTGGGCAAACAGAGGCCCTTCTGCCAGGCCTGGCATCCCGAGGCCTCAGAGGTGGCCTCCCAGAAGCCAAGGACAGAGGCTGGACCTCCTTTGGGGCAAGGTTAGATTCTTTACTACTCAGAGGCCCAGAGAGGAGATGTGACTTGCCCAGGGTCACACAGCTTGTGAGCAGTTGGCCTGACTTTGGAGCCAGGGCTCTCACCCCTGTGCCTGCTGCCTGCAGCTTTCCCGAGCACACGGCCCGGGTCAGGCTGCAGGTGGGCGTAGAACTGGGCCTGATTGCATGTGCCTGCCTTTGTAGAGTCAAACAGACTGTCTTTGACAGTCCAGGCATGGACTGCCCCTCAGAGCAATGCCTCTTAGGTGACCAGGTCACCCTGAGACGCCCCACAGCCATGTATGGTGTTCCCACTGTGCACTTGCAGTCCCTTCCTCCTAGGGTTGGGGCAGGCCGCGCTAACTGTATCAGTTATCTAGGGCTGCGTAACAAATCACCCTCAAATTTAGTGGCATAAGCATTTATTATCTCACAGTTTCCGTGGGTCAGGAAATTCAGGAGTGACATGGCTGGGAGGTTCTGGCCCAGGGTCTCTCCTGAGGTTACGTTCAAGCTGTGGGCCAGGGCTGCGCTTTCATCCGAAGGCTTGACTGGGCTGGAGGATCCACCTCCCAGGTGGCTCCCTCACACGGCTCTTGGCTGGAAGCCTCAGTTCCTCCCGCGTGGGCTTCACCACAGGCTGCTCGAGGGTCCTCACGGCATGGCTGCCAGCTCCCCCCAGAGCGAGAGGGCAAGGAGGAAGGTGCAGTATCTTCTATGACCTCGCCTTGGAAGTCACACACCAGCCCTTCCGTCTTATCCCATTCGCTAGAAGCCCTTCTCAGTCCTCCCACTCTGAAGGGGAGGGGAATTAGACCCTGCCTCTCGGGGCCACACTTGAGAACCACCACACTGACCCTATAGGGGTCATTTAGGAGCACCGTCTCATGTGCCCAGGTTGGACCTGAGGAGCAGCAGGAATAGAAATCACCCCATTCCTTAGCTCCTGCTGTTGGCCGGGGGCCAAGATGCTTGAGCTAGTGTCATCCCAGTCTGGGGCTGTTTGGGGAAAACACAAAGTGGGGGGGAACGAGACAAGTATTGTGACGCCCAGCTCAATGGTGGTGGTTCTTTTCCATGTAAGTAAGACACTCCACTTGCCCTGTCCCGGGCGCTGTGCTGGGCTCAGAGGAGACAGAGATGAGTGAGGGACTGGCTGCCTTGCGGACGCTCACAGAAAAGGGAGACGGCGCTAAGAACTAACCATTTCAGTACATGTGATCAGTGCTGGGAGACTGATGGATGCCTGAGTGTAGACAGACGAAGAGGGGTGGGGATCAGACCTGTGAGACACCTTCCCCAAAGAAGAGCCTATTGTGTCGGGCTTTGAAGAATAAGTAGGAGCTCGTGACCCTGGCAAAGGGAGAAAGAGCATTCCAGGCAGGGGAGCAGCGTGTACGAAGGCACGGAGGGGCTGGGGAGCCCTGGGTGTCTAGGGGACGGTGAGCACTTTGGGGAGTGTGGACGGGTGGCTGGGAATGAGGCTGCAGGTAGTTTGGGCCACATTGTCAGGGCTGAAAGCTGGGCTAAGAGGTTGACTCTAATTTATGATCAACAGTTCACAAAGTGTATTTCATGACTCATGGTTCTGTGAGATGTTAACAGACGTTCCTCCAAAAACAGACCCCAAGGTTGTCTACGTGCAGGAAGCCCAGGGTGAAGCCTAATTCAAGCAGCTTCCTTCCTGCAGGACTTCTCAGAGCCTTTAACTCTCTAACATGCTTGGGAATCTCCAAGAGAGGGAAAGAGTAGATGAGATTCAGTCAACCTTCAAATATGTGGTATTCCCAAACTCATGTGATCATGGAACCCCCTTCCTGACAGAGTCTTAGGAGGCCAGCATTCCAGGGAACACACTTTGGAAATGCTGCTTGTAGGTAATTGTCAAGCGCTAGTGCGTGTTTTGAGCAGGTACGTGCTGTGATGAGATTTGCCGTTTCTGGCTGCTGGTGGAGGGTAGACTGAAGAGGGAGAAGCCAGGAGGCACAGAGACTAGTTAGGGCCATGAGGAGAGAGAAGGAAGGATGTCACAGACATTACAGGGTGTCATCTGCGGGCGAGGTGGTTGATGAACCTGGCTGGGGCTGGAGCGGAGGACGAGAGGGAAGACCCGTGGCTGACGCTCTGGTTCTGGCAGATGACGATGCCGTTGACTCAGACGAGAGGCGTGGAGGAAGGAGTTTGGCGGGGTGGATGGTGTGGGTGCTTTTGTCAGGGGGACCCGTAACTGGCTCGGTCGAGTTACCTGTGCTTAATTTATGGGAGAGGTGGGACAACAAATTCAGCCACTTAGAAGAAATGGACAGATTCCCTGAAAAGCACAACTTGGCGAAACTGACACAAGATGCAACAGAAAACCTGACTAGCCCCATATCTATGAAAGAAACCAGATTTGTAATCAAAAGTCTTTGCACAAAGAACATTCCAGGCCCGGACACTTTCATTGGTGAATTCCATCCAACACTTGAGGCAGAAACAACACCAATCTTGCACTCTTTCAGAAAATCATTTGTGGGAGAGGCAACTTCATGCCTGGCTTTGAGTCAGACAGGCCTGGGTTCCAGCTCAAGCTCTGTTGCTTTCATCTGTTTGGAGTCAGGTTTTGAGGACCTACTATGTGTCGACACTGTTCAGGGCACTGAAGATACCTTAGTGAACAAAGCAGATAAAACTCCCTGGACTCACCAAGTTATGCAGGCGTGGACAGGTCATTTAACTGTGTTGAGCCTCAGTTTCCTCATCTGTGAAGTGGGAGCAGCCGTCCCTTCATTCCCAAGAGTTGTCAGGACTCACAGTGATGGTCAAGGGAGGGAGGGAGGCAGCGGTGGGCAGTTCCCAGCGGCCACTGATGCTTGTCTCTCTGTCATGTGTGTGCATGTGTGTCCCCCACGGCCTGCCTTCTCAGGCCTTAAAATGTGTGTCAGCAGCAGCAGCAGCCACGACGAGGCCCCCGTTCTGAGCGACAAGCACCTGGATGTACCCAACATCATCATTACTCCCCCTACCCCCACGGGCATGATGCTGCCAAGGGACTCCAGGCAGACAGGTGAGGCCACCCCACCACCACTGCCAAGCCGGGTCTGGTCTGGGGGACAGCTCACGGGGCCCCCCTTCTGTGCTCCAGGTCTGAGCTCATGTCCCCGCTTCCCCTGGATTTATTAAAAATTTATGCTTGGATCTGCATACACTCCACCGTGGGCCCCTCGCCACGGCACCAGCCCCAGCAAGATGTGGCATGTTAAGTAATTAGCGAGACAGCCCCTGCCGGCAGCCAGGCGAGTGATGGATGGGGCCAGGCGGGCTCGCCAAGGTAATTGATGGATGCGCCTTCCCCTGCCAGCCGGGGCCTGGTGCTCCATCTTGCTGGCGCAGGAGTTCAGCTGGACAGCGCAGGCTTGGAAACATATCCACGCCAGGGCTGGGGCTGGTCTCTGGAGCTGCCGGATGCAGGGAGGAGAGAGGAGATGGCCTTGTTCCCGGAGAGAGGGGGAGAGGGAGAGGCCCGAACTGGTGCCCCACGTGCCCCTCTGTGGATACCATTGGAGCCAGAGGGGCAAATCGTTCATTTATTCATTAAACAGAAGTGTTGAGCCAGACCTGCGCTTGGTGCTGAGGCTGCTCTTGTGAATGATAATAATCATAATACTAAGTAGTGGTTATGGCGGCAGTAAACGCTTTCCTATTGAGTTCTCACAGTCATTCTGCATTAGGTCCAGTCTTCATCTCCATTTGACAGATGGGTAAACTGAGGTTCCGACAGGGTGCGGCAGTCGCCGAACAGCCAGTAAGTGGCAGAGGCGGGACTCAGCCCCAGGCTGTGTGATCTGGAGTCCACCCTGTGCACCCCCAGGCTGGACGCCCTCCCAGCGGCTAGCGTCATTCAGCCAACCAACCACCGTGACACAGTCCTGCCTGGCTCGTGTGGGGGACACAGGCCGACAAGGCTGACGTGGGGCTCGTGCGAGTCTGGTGGGGGGACTTGGGTAGACTTTTCCAGAAGGGCTGAGTTGGGATCTGAGCTTGCCCACCAGGTGAGTGACCTGGAGAAAGCCATGGGACCCCCTCTGGGCTGGGCCCTGTGTCAGTGCTGCAGGTGGGCCTTGCTCATTCATGATTGCACTGGGTCACACTGCTGTCACCTTCCCCAGTGCTGGGCCCTGGGTTAAAAGCTTTTCTGAGATCTTATTTAATTCTCATTCCAACCCTATGGGCTATGAGGACTGCCCTTATCTCTAGTTTATAGGTGGGGAAACTGAAGTGTAGAGAGGGACAGCGACTCACCCAAGGGCACACAGCAAGGTGAGAGAAGAGCTGGGCTGCTGCTCCAGTGTCTAATCAGAGAGCTCAGGGTGGGCAGCAGAGGCCCAGGTCCTTGCTCCCCACTTACGCTCCCTTCCCTCTCCCAGCCTCTGTGTCCTCATCTGTAAAATGGGATCATAACCACCTTCCCTGCTCCCTGTGAGTGCAGAGGAGTCTGATGGTTACAAGATCTGTGGGGTGAGAGCCCAGAGGCCCTGGGCCCCCAGGAGACTCCTAACCCTGGGAGAGGTTCCTTTGAAACTTAGGCAGTTCTGGGGGTGGATTAATGCCCAGGGGCCAGCACAGGGGTACCCTCCCGTCTGCTCTCGCCGGCGGCAGAGCTCGGATCCCGACCCTCTGCTCTCCCCATTCTGAAAAGGGCAGCAGAATGGCCACAGGCCTGGAGTCAGGACACCCTGAATTCAGATCCCAGCTCTGCCGCCCGTCAACCTGGGACTTTGAGCAAGAGGCTCCGCCTCCCTGTGCCTCGGTTTCCCCATCTGTGAATGGAGATGATAATGGTGCCTCGGTTTCCTCATGTGGAGGATCCGTGACAGGGAAGCTGGAGGGCCTGATTTCACGCCCTGTGTTGATGTTCTCGCCAGTGATATTAGGATGGGAGGACAGACCGCCAGGCCCAGGTGGCACGTCCTTCAGGGCCACATGCTGATACCAGGGGCTTCCCTGGGCAGCAGGGGACTGGCAAGAACTCTGGCCCTGCCTGGACCACCCTGCTGATTGGAGCAGGTCTCCTCCACTCTGGGCCTCAACTTCCCATCTCTAGTCCGGGGTCAGGGGTGAAGGATTTGACCTCCCGCCCAGCCCTGGGCTCGAAGGCACCTCCCAGAAGAGGCTGAGCCAAGAGTGGGGCCCCGGGCTACAATCCCAGGGACTCTGAGTCGGGGAGCGTGGCCTCGAGCCTGGGCGGAGGGGGCGTGGGAAAGCACCATGAGACTCGGCATCAGTGGGGTCCCCTTTAGCATCCGTTGACACTATTGCCCCTATGTCGGGGGAGCTGAGGTGGCCCAGAGGTGCCAGCTCCCAGGGAAAGGGGGCCTGGATGGGGGGGGTCCATCCAGATGTTGATTCCCCCTCTGTCTTCTAGTCTGGCTGGATGAGACGGGGTCCTGCACAGAGGATGGGGAAATAGACCCCGAAGCCTGAGGAGGAGGCGGTGGACACGCATCCATCGGCACCAGCTCCTGCTCTGGCTGCCCCTGGCTCCACCTGCCCCGGGGCGCGGGGTCACCTGGGACAGAGCTGCTGAATAGGCTGGATGGGAAACAGAGCAGATTCGGGCACCCGACCAGGAGAGATGTGGCCGGATGAGCAAGGAACCAGCCCGGCCCACCTCCAGAACGACGTCTTCCAGGCCCCACTGAGTGGACTGGTCCCTGACCTCCTCCGTGTTCTTGCCGACCCCAGGGCCATGGTGACAGCCCGGCCATCCGGGTGCCAGGGAGGGGCTTTCTCCTGGACAAACACACCCTCCCTGCACCCTGGGCCAACCAGACGGGTCAACACCCACGAGAACTTCTCGCAGAGGCGCAGCTCCATTTTTTATGAGTTGTTTTACAGATAACAAAACAGTCCAGAAAGTGATTTATAATTTTTTTGCATTATAAATAAAGATCTTCTGTAACAGACAGTGAAGCTTCCTTCTTGGGCTGGCAGAGGAGACGGAGCACACCCGGATACGAGGTGGGTTTAAGAGCATCGCTTGTCACGGAGGGGCCAGTCAGACGGGTGACAGCTGGTGATGAGCCTTTGGAGAGTCTTGGACCCCTCGATTGGCAGGCCTGGGTGAGGCCAAGGGCACGGGCTCTGAAGTCACACAGACCTCATGTGAGTCCAAGCTCCGACCCTGCCAGCTGTGGGATCCTGGTCATAACACATCTCTCGGATGGGAGGCAAATGGTTTTTGTTTGTTTTTAGAATAACATGAAATTGTTGGTGTGCCCTCCCCCCGTAGACGGTTCTGATCCTGGCACGTGTGTTTCTGTTCGTTTTCTGTGCCTTCTGTCGAGGCTGCGTGGCTTCTGCTTTGGGTTTGCCTACTGTCTTAGTTGGGGTCCCCCAGAAGCAGAGCCCGAGCCAGGCTTTGTGAGCAAGGGGTCTGTTTGGGAGGTGACCCCGGGATACACAGGTAGGGGGGTGGGAAGGTGCAGATCAGGGGTCCCCGAGGCCACTCTCAGGTTCGATAATCCACTAGAGGGACTCAGAGAACTCAGGAAAGCCATTATAGTTGTGATTATGGTGTATTACAGCAAAAAGGATGCAGATTAAAATCAACAAGGAAGAGAGACACAAATGGTAGGGTCCAGGAGAGACCAGGCGCGTGCGTCCGGGAAAGTCACGCAGACGGCACTTCATTCTCCCAGCAACGACGAGGACACATGCATGGGGTGTTGCCAAGCAGGGACGCTCACCGAGCCTGTGTCCAGAGTTTTCACTGGGGGTCAGTCACGTAGACATGGCTGACCGTCCATGTCTCCAGGCCCTCCGGAGGTCGGGCTGATACCCTGTGACGCAGGTCCCCACCATGGAGCACACTGTTAGACTGTCCCTGTGGCCCAAGGCCCCAGGTCAACAAAGACACTTGTATCTGGCAGGATGTCCCAAGGGCCTAGTGGTCACCTCCCAGGAGCTGAGGGCAGAGACCAGACCTCTCTGGGCCTGGTACCTTCTTTCCTGCACAAGAAGCAAGGCAGGGAAGGGAAAGCCATGCAGGTGCTTCTGGAACCTGGCCTCCTGGGGCACCTCGGTCGGTCTCTGGCCTCTGCAGAGGCAGCGTGGAGCTCCCCTCAGCATCCCCCACCCCAGAGGGGTGAGGCAGGGGGCTGCGTCCTCCACCGGCATCCACCGCTGGCTGAGGGCTGCTCCGGACCTGCCCAGCACTTCCCACCTGTCCCCTCGCGGACAGCAGGACTTGCAGAGGGGACGCGGGAACACCCTGGAACACAGAGTGCCCCGGGCGGGTATGGTGGGCCCCACAGTCAGGGCTGACTCCGTGGGTGAGCAACCTGCGCCTTCCAAGAGGGCCCGCCCTCAAAAGGGCCCCTCACCTGGTTTAAACACTCTCCTGTCACCTCCTTGAAATTCTTCATCGTTGTTGGACAAAGGCCCCACGAGCGATACAGCCTGTCATCTTCCAGCCCCCATGGCCCTCTGTGCGCCAAGATGCAGCTCGGGTCGTCTGTGCATCTTAGAAGACCCCACCCCTCCACGGGAGCAATGTCAAGAGCACGTTGTGGGATGGAGATGTCATGGGATGAAGAGCCTGTGGGATGGAGATGTTGTGGCCATTTTTGGAACTCTGGCCTGCCACCTGGTCATGCAGTTCAGTGCCCCCAGAATGCCTTTGCTCACATTGCCAGCCCCGACCCCTGGGCAAGGCCAGGGCTGCTGCAGCCAGGTGCTCCTCCAGGCCAGGCCCTGCCAACTGGAAGTCTTCCACCCCCGACTCCCACAGCACCACGTGTCCCACACGTCTCCTGCGGGTGGGAGACGCGTCTGTTGTTTCATAATCACCAATGTGCAAGTCATCAGAGGAAGGGGTACCCCTGTGCGTGGGGCTCAGGCCCTAAGGCTGATGTACCCACACTCAACCCTCCAGCGTCCCCACACACGACCCTCGGAAAATAAAGCCCCTAAGGTGAGACTCGGGCTCACGCTCCAGTATGTTCCAGACCTTGCACGTAGCAGGTGCCCAGGTTTTTATTTATTTAGTGTGTATGTTGCTGCTGTGTGCAGGGCACTCACTGTTCTAAGCACACTACATCTATTTTAACTCATGTGATGCTCATGGAAACTGTGAGATGCTGTATTAGTCAGTTTTCTTTTTGCCATGTAACAAACAGCCCCTTGGTATAGGCTGAACGTGTGTCCCCACAAATCCTCACGCTGAAGCCTAACCCCCAGGGGATGGCATTTGGAGGTGGGGCCTTTGGGAGGTGATTAAGTCGTGAGGGTGGAGCCCACGTGAATGGCATTAGTGCCCTGATAAAGGAGAGCCGCAAGAGCTCCTTCCATGTGAGGACAGGGCCAACTGTGCGCCAGGAGGCAGCCTCACCTGACGCCAACTCTGCTGGCACCTTGATCTTGGACTTCTCCCCCTGCGGAACTGAGCCATAAATTTCTGTTGTTTGTAAGCCCACCAGGCTGTAGGGTCCTGCTACAGCAGCCTGAACCCCCAAACCCAGGGACTGAGAACTGATTGCCCACTCACTCGTCTCTGGGTTGGAGCCGAGTAGCTCTGAGGGGCTGGGCTTCGTCGGGCTGCAGTGGGGTTCAAATCTGCTCATGTGACTCCTCGTTTTGTGGCCAGCAGCTGCCAGAGGATGCTCTCCAGGAGGAAGGCAGGGCACAGAGCACGAGCCAGGCCATGCAAGGGCTTTCCCAGCTTCTGCTCAGGACCCTCTGCCCCAGTCCTGTTCCCACGGGAACCCAGAGGTTCTGGGTCTCAGGGCTGGGGCTGGGTGCTTGCCCTGAAGGCCGACTGAGCCCACCGTCTGAGGGGGGCCCCACGTCTCCCTGGGCATGGCTCAGAGGCCTCCAGCCCACTCAGCAGCCTGCCGTGGCTAATCACCGCCTCATCCTGGGCATTTAGTGCCCATGGCAACAGGAAGAGGGCTGCTAGCTGGAGACCAGGCGGGAGGGGTGCTGGAGGCTGCACAGCCCCAGGACGCTGGATTTGCCTGTCTTATCCTTGCTTTCCTGGAGGAAGATCCCAGGGCCCCTGGTGTCCACACCAGTCCTGGGCTTTGAAACACACTCAGCTGGGAGGCTCATCCCTGGTGAAGCCAGCAGTTAGGAGGGTGTTACCCCAGAATGGTGTCTGCTGAGTAAGAGGAGAGAGACCCTTCCTGGTGACATCTGCACCCCAGCAGGAGTGAACCCTGTGACAGTGCTCGGTGCCCAGCACCTGTCTTTGAAACTATGCCTTCAAGTAAGCTCTGTCTCCCCACAAAGGAGGGGCGAGGTGGAGGGGGCCTGCTCAGTGCAAGCTCTCACCCAGGGAGGGCATGGGGGGCGGGGCAGGGCACACCACTGCAGCCCCAGCGTCCCTCTTAGGAGCTGTGAGAAGGAATAGGGGGAGTGGGTGTGAGCAAGGACTTTGGCATCAGGCAAATCTGCATTGTGCTGTGTGACCATGGAAAGTCACTCAACCTCTCTGCACTTTTTCTTCTCCTGTAAAGTGAGGATAATCACAGGCTCTACCACATGGGGAGCATATGAGGATTAAGTAAAATTATGTAAAACCCCCACATGGTGTCTGGCACAGAGTAAACAGTGAATAAATGGTAGTCTTCATGATCAGGTGGGTCACCAACCTCTCTGGGCCTCAGTTTGCTCATCTGGGGAACGGGGACCATGCCATGGGGCCCTGAGGATGATGGGAAATGGAGGGTGTGACTGTGGGGAGGGGGGGAAGAGTGAGGGCTCTGGAGCAGACCTGGCATCACATCTGCCGTGGTGCCCCCTGTACCTAACGTGACTCCCACTGCATCACCCGTGCCTCCCTTTCAAGGGCTTTCTCGGTGCAGGAGCAGGTGGGGTGGGGGCTCTCCAGGCCACCTAGAAGACCCGGGGAGTTGACACCTCCAGGAGCACCCCTCACCCCCGTGCACGGGAGAAAGCAGAGAACTAGCCCCCTCTCCTTGCCCCTCGCGGTGGAGGTGAGGCGGCTCTGAGGAAACTTCCGGTCTCCCCAGTGCTTCTCAGACTTGAGCGTGCTCTCCGTAGAGATCTGGTTCAAAGGCAGACTCGGTTTTAGGAGCTCTGCGATTGTGCATTTCTAACCAGCTCCCAGGGCACCAGTGCTGCTGGGCCACAGACCACATTTGGAGTCACGAGGGTTCCTCGCTGCCCAGAGATTCCCAGGGCTCTGAGGCCCGGCTGCCAGCGTAGGAAACCTGCTCCTTAACCTGAACTGGTCCTCCTGGAGCTCCCCGCTCCCTTCCGGGTGCTCTCTGGGATTGCCTTCCCAACAAACCACTTCCCCTTGAGGCCTTTCTCGGGGCCTGCTTCCCAGCCGCAGTCAGCATCCGTCCCTGTGCGCCATTTATATCAGCTGGGTGACCTTGAGCAAGTTCCACTGCTTCTCTGAGCCTTGGTTTCCCCCCTCTGCAAATGGGGAGAATAAACTAGGTTGTTGGGAAGATTAAATGAATGGACACACATATAGAACCTAGAATAATGCTTTAGGGTTCAAAATGTCCTCTAGAATGTTGGCGATAATGCTGAGGTTGGCAAAGCCGCGATCGGGAAGACCCACCAGGCCCGTCTGTGCGGTCGCAGCCTCGTGGGGTCGTTGCATTCTGCACGGACTTGACCCTTCATTAGAGGTCGGGGGTGCTAGAGCAGTGGGATGGGTGCCTCTTTGGGGCTGGTCTAGAATGACACCTTATTTTGAACCCAAAACATGGCTCCCTGATTCTTATTTCTTGAGTCTGTTCTTCCTTAAATACATCCTGGGGGAATGGATGCTAATGTCTGCCGTTTATTTTTCATTTATTTTTAATGCCAAAGCTGCGCATCCTGATTAAAACCAACAATAAAAAAGCTTTGTAAATGGCTCCCCCCCAAAGTGTGTGTGTGTGGGAGGGTGGGGCAGGGGTCCCAGTCAGAGGCCACCGAAGAGGAAATGGACGGATGGACTAACAGCTCTGGCCGCCGACAAAGCCCGTTAACCCTAACCCTGCTGTGTCCCGGAGAAGTTCCCAGGCTCCAGGAGGTGAGGGGACATTCTGGTCCACGACTTGGGATTCATGCTGTATGCCTCCAGGAGGGGAGGCTGGGAGGGGAGAAAAGTGTGAAAACAGATGGAAATGTAATTTTTAATGACAGCAGCAGATGGCAAAAAGACACAAGAGTGTATTCGCACCATGTCGGAGCCATTTGCGAGCGCCCAGCTCAGCCGTGATATGCGCCGTGCGGCTGGCGTGACGGCTCCCCCGCCAAACCCCGCAGGCCGGCGAGCTGCAGGGGGGAACACGCAGGCCCCCTGGGGAGGGGCCGGGCGCTCTGCCAGGCTGTGGGGAGCCACAGGTAGACGGGAAATACCTGTGGCCACCTGGGGGGTCCGGAAGCGTCTCCGTGCCTGGCTTTTCCGCACACAGGCAGGCAGTGAGGCGCTCTGGTTTCACACAGCCCCTCCTCCTGGTCTCCATGGCGGCTCCCCAAGGCCAGGCCATTGTCACCACTCACCTGGACTTCTCAAAGTCCAGGTGAGGAGTCTCCTGCTGCCAGACCGCGTCCCACCCTGACTCCATCCACCAGAGCTGTGTTTCTACAGTGCAGAGCTATTCCTGTCACTCCTTGCCCCGCATCCCTCACGTGGCCTCCCGACGCACTCAGGATCACATCCCTGCTCTTGGAGGCCGCTCACCAAGCCAGCCCTGGAGGTGTGGCTGCTGCTTGTCTTTCTTACTCCTCTCCTCACCACACTTCGCGGGGACAGGAATCCCTGTGGGGCGGTGGTGAGAGAGAAACACCACCACAGCTGGAAGCAGGCGCCCCCGTCCACAGAGCGCGGCCCGGTCAGCTGCAGCTGACAACTCCTCCAGCTCTAGGTGACGTTCAGAATAGGTGACAGCTGGGGTGGGGTGGCCCCAACCAATGGGAGCTGCCCCTGGCCAGAAACAGCAGCTGAGGTCAGCCCCGCAGGAGGTCATGTCAGCCCCCCACCTTAGAGACAGGTGGGGGCAGCAGTCACAGTAGGGGCTGTGGCTCTCGGGCTCCTGGAGCACAGCAGGGGCCCATTAGGGACGCAATCACGTCTTGCTGTCAGGGCCCTGCGCTCCTCCACCCCTCCGGCTTGTTTCAGCTGAGGCAAGGGGAGGGAGGGTTACCAGAGGAGGTATTTCCATTCTGCGTTTCTCTCTCGCTGCCATGACTGTAATTCTACTCGTTCCTTAGCTGGGTGATACCACCAGCTGTTGGTCACCGCATCACCGGAGCCACCCCCGAGATGGCAGGTGTCTGGGTTCGGTTTATGGGAGCAGGGGCTCTCGCCCTCGGCTGAGGCCTGGGCCTGCCCCACAGCATCTCATCCCTTCCGTCCAGGTGTGGCCCGGGACTCGGGCAGGTGATTCTCACACACAGGCAGGGCTGAGTCCGGGGGGGCTTCTCGCCCACCTCCTCAGGTCCTCACTGTCATTCATCGTTTCCTAGGCCGCTGGTCTCCTCACTCTAAGAGAATTGCTCCCACGTGCAGAGATTCAGACTTCGAGGTAGGCTAATCAAGGATGGAATGAACACGCTCGCGCAGGTGGACCACAGGTCCTTCCCAGACGCGCTCAACCCAAGGGTCCTGTGGGGACGCACTGACGGGCCACCAGCCCAGTGTCACTCACAGGAACGAATGCCCCTGCAGAGGACCCCAGACTCCATCCAGTTGCTCATACTGCGAGTTCTCCATTTCCACATGGGGCGGGGGCCGCCCTACAGGATGGGGCGGCTCCAGGAGATTTCCATCATTGCAGGAAGATCTCTGCTTTCAAAGCAGAAGTCCCATGGCTGACTCATTTTCGGAGCACTGCTCTGCGGCTTAAACTCTAGTGTGACCAGGTGTTGTGGTACAGACCACCCTGAAGGGGGCAGTGGGTTCACGCTTCTGGAGTGTTCTAGCTTCCCTGGGGGAATCTGGCAGAGGCTTTTTCTTAAACTCTTTTTTTGCTAAGAATAGCTTTAGCCTTACAGAAAAGTTGCAAAGATAGTACAGAGGGTTCCCATAAACCCCACACCCGGTTTCCCCTGTCGTTAATCTTATGTTACTCTGGTCCATTTGTCACAATGAATGAACCAACTTTGATACATTCTTACCAACCAAAGTCCATTCTCTATTCAGGTTTCCTCAGTTTTCCCCTAACGTCCTTTTCCTGTTCCAGGATCCCATCCCCATTTATTCCACGTCTCCTTAAGCTCCTCTGGGCGGTGACGGTTTTGGGAGGTGGCTTTTGATGACCCTGGCAGTTTTGAGGAGTGCTGGGCAGGTGTTCCGTAGAATGTCCCTCTGTTAGGGTTTGTCTGACATTTTTCTCACAATGAGCCTGGACTTGTGGGGTGTGGGGAGGAAGACCCCAGAGTGAAAGCACCTTCTCATCCATTTCTCCTCCATCGTATCAAGGGTGCATGCCATCACCCTGGCCTGTCACTGCTGATGCTGACGTCGCTCTCCTGGCTGAGGAGGTCAGGTGTCTCCCTGGTCCTGTAACTCTGTGTGTCCTGTTTCCATCCTCTCCTCTTTGGAAGGAAGTGGCATGGGGCCTACACTTCAAGAGTGGGGAGCATCTCTCTGTCCACATCATGTGGAATTCTTCTGCATGGAGATTTGTCCCTCCCCACCCCCACCCATGTATTTGATCGCCAGCCCTTCATTCCTGACCATGGAGCTCATTATCTGGCCTTGCCATCTCCTTCCCCCACTTCGAGAGCCCAGCGTGAGGCTGGGCCTTCAGAAGTCCTCTCTGGATCCCGGGAGTGGCTCAGAGCTGGACTGGATTGGGGCAAATCGCTTCCCTTCCCACTTTTCCCAGTTAATACAACTTCCGGGGGAGTGTGTTGAGTGTGCGGTTTCCATGAGTCACAAAGTCGGAGCCTGGAGCTTAGGCGGGGGCATTTTCAATAACAGCTTTATTGAGGAATGATACACATATTATAAAGTTTACCCTTTGAAAGAGTATAATTCAGTGGTTTCTTAGTATATTTACAGAGTTGTGCAACCAGCACCACTATCTAATTCTAGAACATTTTCATCACTCCAAACGCAACCCCACACCCATTAACAGGCCCTCCCCGCTCCCTGCTCCCCCAGCTCTTGGCAAGCACTACACTAGCATGTGTCTCCATGGATGGTTTATCTATTCCAGACGGTTCATGTAAACGCAATCAGATATGGTTTTTGTGACTGGTTCCTCTCACATAGCATAAGGTTTTCAAGGTTCATCCACGCTGTAGCATGAATCGGCCGCATTCTTGTTCATGGCCGAATAATATTCCACGGCACGTACAGACCACATTTTGTTTATCCATTCCTCCAGTGATGGACATGTGGGTCACTTCCACCTTTGGCTCTTGTGAATAGTACTGCCGGAAGGCAAAGACATTTAACAAGCCCCCAAGGGACCCAGGTGGACCCTCGAGTCTGAGACTCCAAGATGTCCCCATTTTGCAGTGTGTAAAGCTGCACACTTGTTCTCCCAACAGCCCAGTGAGGTAGGCAGCAGCACTGTCCCCATGTTACAGACACGGACACCGAGACTCAGGTGATGCGGACACCGGGCTCTCCTACTCATCCCGCCACGGTCTCTCTGAACCCTGGCTCTCCCACTGGCTCTTTTCCTCTGCTCTTTGACAGGCTGAGAAAATCCAGGAGGGAAGCCTCGCCAACTTTGGAACACAAATATTTTCCAGTCAAGAAAACAATCCCCCATCCATCAAAACCCAGACAAGTTGGCACACGCTCTCTGCAGATGCCCGAGGGAGCTTCTATTTCAGGAGGGGCCAGGTGGCCTGCAGCGTCCCCTCCTCCCCAGACACCCTGGGGCTCCTTCTCTTCCTACCTCACTTTTGCAGATAAGGAGACTGAGGTTCAGAGTGGTCACTTGCCATTGGTCACACAGCATCCAGAGGAACTTTTCATGTATTTTCTTTGAAAGTATTTGTCATAATAAATGACCCACAATGAAGGTAATCTCCAAGCCTGTAAATGACAATTTCCAATGCAGATAAATAACAGACACAGCTTTCCAGGACATGTGAGTGGGCAGAATTTAATTACGGCCTTATTTCATCTTCCCAACAACCCTACATGGGCAGGTTTCGGTGGGGGGGGGGGGGCGGGGAGCATTGGAGAGGAAAGCATGGGATCATCTCGGGTAGGGCAGCTCTCCGGCATGGGTACAGAACCCTGGAAGTCTCCTGTCCCTTATGCTTTTTCTCAGGGCCTAACGATCAGGGTTTTGAATTCAAGTCCAGCTCACTGCCTGTCCCCACAGATCCTACACTTGCTGCCTCATGTCCCAGGGAGCTGTCCTGGCCTTACCACCCCACCGAAATGACCCTGGGCCTGGGGAAAACTCAGCTTTCTGTCCCCACCCCAGACCCCTGAACCACAGCTCTCCAGGAGCGCGCGTGTTGACGCCCAGGATCTTCTAGGGGACTCTGACAGCGGCGAGTCGGAGAACCACTGCTGTTCCGTGCCACACAAGCCGTCCGCACAGAGGGCTCCCGTTCCCCGAGCAGACGAGAGCATCGGTACATACGTGCTCCAGTCGTGCAAACCTGTCTCTTCATGAGTCTCACCTGGGGTGCGGCCCAAGCACAAATTCTGAGCCTCTCCCCGCAGCTTCTGAATCGGAACATGTGGGTGGGGTGAAGGATCTGCATGTTTATAGATTTTAACCAACGCGTGTAGAGAGAACGGAAGATTGAGAAATTAAAGGAGGCAACGCCTTCTCTCACTCCGCTGGGCGCGGCCCTGTCTGTCTAGCCAGGTCACGCCGTGACCCAATAAATGCATTTACTCCTGGCCGGGTGCGGGCCCAGTGTAGACGCACCCCGAGCCCCACCCCCAGCTTGACTCAGGGTGTTGGCAGGAGGCGCCCGGGCCAGGTGAAGGGACACGGAAGTCTGGCGCCAGGGCAGGAGGGCCCACGGAGGCCAGGTGCGCGGCCCAGGGGGGAGGCGGGGTCGGGGCGCCGAAGGGGGTGGAGCCCGGGAGAGGCGGGGCCGGGACGCGGAAGGGGTGGAGCCTGGGAGAGGCGGGGCCGGGACGCGGAAGGGGTGGAGCCTTGGAGGGGCGGAGCCGGCACGGGAAGGGGTGGGGCCCCAGTGGGGCGGGGCCAGGACGCGAGACTGGGTGGAGCTGGGAGATGAGAAGGGCGGGGCCGGGACACGGGATGGGGTGGGGCCGGGGCGCGCGAGAGTGTGGAGCCTGGGAGGGGCGGGGCCTGGATCTGTCCAGCAGAAGGGCGGGGTCTGCCTTCAGCCTCGTTCAAGCTCGCCAATCCGCGGGCTCGTGGCAGCCGCGGGCCCCGCCTCCTGCCGCCGCGCCGCATTGCTATAGGCCGGTCGAGGCTTCTTCCGGCCTGGGGGTGGGCCCCGCGCGGTGGCGGGAAAGCGGCGTCCGCGGCACCTTCTCCTGAGTCGCTGTGGGTCGGAGGCGGCGGCGAGTCCTGGGCAGGCTGCTACGCCACCATGGACGCGGCCGAGGTGGAGTTTCTGGCCGAGAAGGAGCTGGTTACCATTATCCCGAACTTCAGTCTGGACAAGATCTACCTCATTGGGGTGAGGGCGCGGGCCGGGGGCGAGCGGCGGGCGTTTGCCTCAGGAACCGGCGCCTGGGAGAGGCCGGCCCCCGGGGGTCGGAGCTTGTGCGGACGCCGCCCTCTCCTTCGTCCTACCCTCCTCTGCCCCCGCCTTTCGGAGGGGCAGCCGGGCGGCGGGCTCCGGGGCTCGGTCGGCGCGGGGGCGGGGCGGCGGCTCTGAGGAGACCGGGCACAGGTGGGAGCACAGGTGGGCGGAGAGTGGGATCGCAGGTGGACGGACAGTAAGATCGCAGGTGGGAGCAAAGGTGGGCACGCAGGTGGGCGGCAGATGGGATCGTAGCTGGGAGTACAGGTGGGTGCAGGTGGGAGCAGAGGTGGGCACACAGGTGGGCGACAGGTGGGATCACAGGTGGGCTCCGGCCTGTCCGGTGCCCCTCCCCTTCCTGGCCGCAGGGAGGTCGGTCATGCCTTTGTACCGTCTGAGCGGCTCGTTTTCCTTCCGCAGGGGGACCTGGGGCCCTTTAACCCCGGCTTGCCGGTGGACGTGCCCCTGTGGCTGGCCATCAACCTGAAACAACGACAGAAGTGTCGGCTGGTGCCTCCCGAGTGGATGGACGTGGGTGAGGACGGGGTGGACACGGTGCCGGCCTCCCGCTGGCGGAGGTGGGGGGTCCTTCCATCTGCTCCGTTGACCACTAATGGGCCGGAGTTAATGGTCCCAGACTCACCCCTTGGAGGCTGCTGCCCGCTGTTATTGATGCTGTGTTAGTTCGGGGTGTGTTTACCAATCTTAGTTCAGATTTTCGTTTTAAGATATTTCAACTTGCTCTAAAACTAAGGATGCTATAGGACCTTAAAGAAGCATTTGTTCTAGTTCAAGAAAAAAAATAAGTATAGTCTAGCAGGTTGAGGAGCAGAGTCGTTATCTCACGTGGTAGAGAATGCATGAAAATAATGCGTCATCCACGGGAGGGAGGGTTATTCGGCCATAAAGAGGAGTGGAGGACTGATCCCGCTGCAGCGGGCGAGCCCTGAGAACAGGATGCTGCGTGAACAACCAGACACACAGACCACGCATTTATTGTGACATTCCGTTTATCCGAGCTGTTCAGAACGGGCACACCCGCAGGGACAAAGCAGATGAGTGGCTGTCTAGGGCTGGGGTTTGGGGGTCGATGGATGGTGGGGTTCCTTTCTAGGGTGGTGAAAATGTTCTAGAATTGATTGAAGTGGTGGACGCACAACCGTGTGAGTGTACTAAAACCCACCAAATTGTACACTTTAAACCAGTGAATTGTATGGTATGTTAATTATGTCCAAATAAAGCTGTTAAAAAAACAGAAAATAATGCATCGAAGGTGCAGAGGGACTTCATCCTGAGCCTTTGCAGTCTTTTCCCCACCTGAAACATGAGTGGCTCATCATAGCAAAGAATCTTAATTTTATTTGGGGTGGGGGCATTTAGAATTTGGAAAGCCTCTGAGCAATAGTGATTGTCCCCTCCCTGGGGACATCTGGGAGTATGTGCCTCCTAGAAGCAAGGACACTGTCAGGCGGGCACTCTCGAATACTCTTGAATACAGTTTAAGAAGGACTGGGCATTTTCTCCTCCCTCCCCGTCCTAAAGGGCAGAGGGACTCTGGCGGTCCTGAAGCCTAATGGGAAACTCATGCCTTCTGCTTGGAAGGGCCTTGTTAGCGGGGAGCCCCCCAGGCCTGGCCCTATTAGCGCGGCATCCCCTTCTGGCAGTTTTGGTGCATCCAAACCCAAGGCGGTACGGGCCAAGAGCCAGAGTCAGAGAGCAGGCGTGGAGAGAGCGAGCCCGAGCCTTTTCCTGCGCCTGGGCCTTGATGTGGTGCGAGGTGGTGAAACATCCTCATCAGACGTAGGCCCCGCCCAAGGGCCAGATGCCTTCGGGTTCTGCGGCTGCGATTAGTCCCACCTGTTCTTGGACCTCCTCTAAATGGAATCAAGTGTGTCAGCTTTTGTCTCTGGCTTCTCTTATTCGATCGATGTTTTTGAGATTCGCCCCCAGTGTTGTGTCTGTCATTACCTCACTCTTCTGTTTCACCCGCTGGATGAGGATGCCACAGGTTGGTCCCCCATTCTTCGGTTAGTGCATGTTTGGGTTGTTTCCCATTTTGGGGTTTGTGAATGAGGCTGTTGTGAACATTCTTGTCAACGTCTTTTTGTGGATGTATGTTTTTATTTCTCTTGGGTAAATGAATACCTAGAGTGGTGGAATTCCTGGGTCATAGGGCAGACTGTGCTTAACTTTGAAGGAAACTGCCAACCAGCCCTCCAGAGTGGTTGAGCCATCGTTAGAATCCCGCCAGAAATGTATGAGCCTTCCCATCGTTCCACATCCTTGCCAGTGTTCGGGGTTGTCCTTCTGATTTACCGCAGGGTTTGAACAGGTGTTCTATACTCTGCTTTAGATGATAGAAAAGCAAAGAATCCGTCCGCCGTGCAGAGATGTGCGTGGGGAGAGGGTAGTAGGGAGTTACCCAGGCGAGAGCTGAGGGAGGCTGAGCTGGTGGTGGAGGTGGGCACGTGTGGTCGGAGTGTAGGGGTGTTTTGAAGAAAGAATTAGCGGGATTTGCTGACGGACAGGCCTTGGATCTGGGAGAGGAGTTAAGGATGCCCGCCAGGGTCATCGGCTGAGCTGCAGACGAGGTGGAGCTGCTGTGTCCTGGGACAGGAAGGCTGCGGGAGCAGTGTGTGGGCTGCACTGGGAACCAGGAGTGGGGGTTTGAATGTGTCACCCCGAGGTGCCTATTAGCTATCCAAGTGGAATTAATGTGGGCAGTGGGGCCTGGAGTCAGGAATTCTGAGAGGGGCTCATCTGGGGATGTAAATTTGGAAGTCGTGAGCATGTGGTGTTTCCAGGAGGCAGGAGGAGATCACAGGGGCTGTGGGTTTAGGCAGTGGAGAAGGGGCGGGCACCTGAGCTCTATACCCCACTGTTGAGAGGTCAGGAAGAGCCGGAGGGATCAGCGAGATGAGAAGAGATCTCCGAGTGGTGTTCCAGCCACGAAGTGGTCAATATGCTCCAAGGAGGACTGACCCTTGTCCGATGCGAAGACTGACGTGTAGCCGTTGGGTTTGGCTGGGCCTTGGTGAGCTGTGTTGGTGGCGGGGCGGGATAGACCCCCACCCGAGTGGTTGAGGGGAGGAAGTTAACGCCAGTGTCAGACAACTCTTGAAGTTTTGCTGTAAAGGGCGTGAGAAATGGATGGTAGCTGGAGGAGGATTGGTGTCAGGGGAGGGTTTTCTTTTTAAGATGGAGGATGTTGCAGTAAACTTGATGGAATGGTAAATAGTGACCGAAACAGTGATCATTCAAGAGCGAGAGAGAGCTGCTGGAGTGGTGTCCTGGTGGGAGAGAGAGCAGGGTCCAGTGCACGTCCAGGAGGCTGTTCCTCCTGTGTGGGGACAGAGGCAGGGAGGTTGGGAGATGTGGTGGCAGGAGAGTGCAGGCTCAGCAAGGCCTCGAGGAGAGCCGGGGCGGCAAGATGAGGAAAGAAGGCACGAAGAGGCAGGCAGGATCGCAAGTGACGGGGTGAATGGACCCGGGACGTACAGTAAGATTGCAAGATGGCACCATGGGCCCCCAGAGATGGATGGTCAAACATTTAAAGTGAGACCGCCCAGCATAGTTGCGTCTGTGTGTGTCCCTTCGCCACAGTGGGCAGTCCAGACTCAAGACTAGGGTTTCCTCAGGCCAGTGAGACAGGAGCGAGGGGCAAGGCAGTTGTGGCACGTGGGGAGGGGTGCTGCTGCTGCTTGGGGCTGGGCTCAGCGGCTGGTTCCAGATGCCCGGCTTTCAGCCCTTTACCCTCACCCCACCCCCAGGCCGGAGGGGCGGTAGCTGTAGATTGTCTCGCTCTCTTCTGAACTAGGCTTGCTATAGATAAGTAAATCTCTCCAGTCACTGGTTACTTTCGTCACTTCTTGCTTCAAAGGTAGAAAACTTTGCTCTTTCCCTCAGAAAAGAACTTCTGACTCTGGCGTTCTTTTCAGTAATATTTCCTGCAGGTCAAAGCAATAACAATAACAAAAATTTACCACCTTCTCTAAGAGAAGTTTTTGAGGAAATAGGCCCTGAATCACCTAGCTAGTGACATGTTATCCCAAAAAGTGTTTTTTTCATGTATTTGTTAGTTGACTGAATAGGTAATATAGGCACTTGGTAAGTTTGGAAGATTTAAAAAAAATGTTTGGGTTATGGTGATGGTAAAATGTATTTATTCACTTCTGAAATTTCAGAGAAGTTGGAGAACATTAGGGATCACGAACGAAAGGAAGAAACTTTTACCCCTATGCCCAGCCCTTACTACATGGAACTCACCAAACTCCTGCTAAATCAGTGAGTATCTCTCAGTTCTTAGAGCCC